TATTGAACTACTAAGCGAATCGGGCTAATAAAGAAACATTTTCATATAGCCAAACAAATCTTTATCATGCAAATTCAAAAAAAAAGTAGTGAGTGTAGTTACAAGTACCTGTGTCCTTATATATATTGAAATTTTACATTGAGTTTCAATGCTGTATATGTTTACTGAACAGAACCGATTTCTTTCGTCTTGGCACCTGACTCGACTTGCTGTAAACTTTGCTGTAAAGCTGGTTCCTTGCAAGAATTTATTTTATTCTCCCATCAGCCTTTCCTTCGCCGAAACTTCTCTGTTTTCTGAGTTTATGTGACAAGCTAAGCCTTTCTAATGTTCTAAGCTCCGTCATGATCGTTCCACCTAAATGGAGCACCGGAATTTCTTTCTTTATTGAACTACTAAGCGAATCGGGCTAATTAAGAACAATTTTCATATAGCCAAACAAATCTTTATCATGCAAATTCAAAAAAGCGGTATTGTATTTTTTGTTCTCTTTCCACACAAACTAATGATATGATAGCTAAGTGCGCTGAATATTTTCACAATTTGAGGATCGTTTTGAATCAAATGTTCTGTCTTCTTGTTCATCCGCCCCATTATATTTCTATGTTTTTAGCCTCCTTAACCAAATTCACTTTTACGCTCCTCAAAGTTGAGAAAGACTATAATTTATTTTCTTCTGAATGTTTTTCATCTCCATGCGAATGAACTGAAAAACACCTCTCATTTTTTTTAACCTTGGGTTATGTACGATCTTCGCAGTTTCTTAACATTTCAACGTTTTCAGAAAAAGGGCTCTGACATGCATATTTGTTACACGTAAGAGTTTTTAAAGTGTTCCTTGAGACATTTGTTGCTTATTTTGTCTATATTTCTGCGATTCATCCATCGACCTTGAGGCGGCTATCAGATGCTGAGTCATAATGACTAAGTCAAGCAGTTTTCAGGGCCAAGGTTACCACCGCTGATTAGTATTAAATTCCCGACCATGGATTGTGTACTCAGCGGCACTGGTTTTAACATTTTCGTTTGATACTGCTAATGGATGGCTAGTCGCGCTGTTTCAAGCGGCGACTAGAACGTTGAGAATAATTGTTTTTAATGATTTAAGCTGCTGAAGCGGTCACATTAATAATCTGGAACCGGCTTTGATACAACTGTAGCGAGACAGGAGCCTACTCGCTCTGAGTCGTTGGAATATTTGCTCAATTTTTCCACTGAGAAAATCATTGATTTAAAAAGTTCAGAAATGATATATTTTGGACTCGTCTCGTCGTGCTCTAGACTATGGAATGAGCGACATCATGTCGCTATGGATACACCGGTTGCGATAAGAGAAGACGGTGTAAATGGCTATGCTATGTGTTCTATCCGTAACGGTTTGTTCAAATTCCATGGTAAAGACGACTGATTTTCATTCATGCATCGTTAAAGACAGTCACTCGAACGTTCCTCATGGAATCAACTCATACGCTATCAGCAATAATAAAGAAGAAATGATTTTGATTTATGTCAAGTTTGATTGATAGAATGAAATTTAGTCGGATCGATTTCGAAAGTTGGCAAACATAAGAATACACAGTTGTCCATCGCAGCTACCAGGATAGTTTTCTATGATGGATAAACCTTAGAATCATTCATAAACAATTCATCAGCGGGATCGACACATTTTTAATGTTATAAATAACTTTACTTTATCAAAAACTGCTGATGGAATAACTTACAATTCAGAATCTATTCGTTTACCGGCAAATTCGTGCGGCAGTTTCCCTCTGTAAGGTCATGAGCTGTCACGACCCTCAATAAAAACTGACGAAAACGAAGTTTCAAGAAAGTTAGAGAAGAGCCCTAAACGCCTCGTTTTTTGGTGCATTTGCATATGAAAGCAAACCCTTAAACGAGAAGGCCTTCTGACATACTAGGCCCCTTCTTTTTCCGGCCTATGCCGCAGAAATTGCTTCACAAAAGGCAGGAGCAACATTGTAGGTTCCGTATCTTAAAAACGTGCCAACGTCCCCAAATTTATCTGTGATAATTCAGATCAACTTTCTCGATCCTAAATTATTCTTGTTCAACTTTGTTCTTTTTATACCACTATATATTATTCAATATTATAAAAGGGAAATAAAGCGCTTTAGACAGTAACAACAATTTTTCTTCACGATGCTTACATCTTGAAAATTTTGCTAGTAGTTCCAAGATTATCATTGGCAATTTGTACAAGTCTAGTTATCCTAAGTTACTCTTGTTTCATCTTTGTTTGCGCCTACCACATTGCAACCTGTGACAAGGAAACAAGCGAGGAAAAAAAGGAAAACATATTCCATACAGGATGCTCATTGGACGCTCCAATGCATGTTGTAGAGTTTTTCCCAAAATTTTCAGTGTGTTATTTGCAATCCGAGAGAACAGTCTTTACTCTAATTTGGAAAATTCCTTTTTTGGAATGTTTTACCTTCGACCCCGCAAGCGTTTTGTATGTGTTCCAACCTGACCAAACTCTTTCAATTATTAGCTGAATCTTTACAATGCATCGTATACAAGGAAACTTTTGTAACTACTATACATCTTCCATTTGATCTGTAATCATGTTTTACCGAAAGAAACGAGGAGCATTCATGAAAAAAATTTATAACTAAAACACGTACAGAATCTCTAAAGCAAACATTTATCATAGTTGGAAAAAAACCTCTCAGGTTTTTTCGAAGCGAAACCTGTAAGAGATGCTCTTTCCGCTAAAGATGGGAGTCACAAAGTGTTCTAATGTGCCAAAAAACCTCTCAGGTTTTTTCAGAGCAAAACCTGTGAGAGATGCACGTTCCACTAAAGATAGAGGTCAAAGGTGTTCTCGTAGATACGAGGCACAAAGTTGTTGTATCTGAAGCGATATATTGATTATAAAGCATTTCAGCTGAAGGGCTGTGATACCAGGAACTCCTGATGATACATATTTTCGATTGCTTTTACTTGTTTTTCAATTTGATGTCAACATGTAACAAATGAATTTTCGTTTTGCCATATTTAGGTTCTGAGCTCGAAGCCGCTGGTAGAAGCGCTTCTCCGCTCATCTTCTATGCTAACCGAGACAGCATCAGGTACATAAGCACCAGAAACGTTTCAGTGCAAGGAGTTCTGCTATCGGGTCTGCAGGAGGTCAGATCTTTGGCCTTACATGTAAGGCATGGTTTGATTTTCTGGAGTGAATATGGCAGCACCACAACAATTAACAGAATGCATCTCTCTACGAGTGCCACCAAAGAAATCATATTAAATGGTTTAGGCGAGGTGCATGACATTGCAGTAGAGTGGGAGTCTTCACTTATCTACTGGACAGATTATTTGCACGAAACAATTGAAGTTGCTCGCATTGATGGGTCTCACAGAAAGACTCTCTTTTGGGAAAATGTGGCAAATCCACGGGCAATTGTAGTGGATTCTCGGGATGGGTAAGTTTAATTAACAAATGGTCATTTCGCGAGTGTAGTTACAAGTACCTGTGCCCTTATATATATTGAAATTTTACATTGAGTTTCAATGCTGTATATGTTTACTGAACAGAACCGATTTCTTTCGTCTTGGCACCTGACTCGACTTGCTGTAAACTTTGTTTATTTAAGCTGGTTCCTTGCAAGAAATCATATTGCTTTCCTTGTTGAACGCTCGTGACAAGATGGAAAAGTAAGCGGCAAACCTACATGACCTCGTGTTCAATCCGGTCCAACATCTAAACATGTTTGTTAAATTTAGTGAATATAGCGGATCTTACACCGATTCAGACATAAAAAATCAAGAGTATTACGGTAGTAATGTAGAACTTGGGTGCTCGCGGATCGCTTGCTCGAACGCGGTAAACTGTGACGTCCAAATGTCCCGTGGCTTTTTATTCAACAGATGTAAAAGCATTTAAGCGCAACTAATTATAACAATTAAGCGGAGGAGGAGGGAAAAGCGACTACGATAAACGAACGAGAAGGAGACCAGTCATTGTGATGTAGGCGAGAAAGTCACACTTATTCGAGGAAAAGCATCACAACTGTTTCGATTTTCCGATAACACTTTTTTTGAGAGACACGTATAATTCATATCATTCAGTAGCTACTGATGGAACATCCATGGCTTGTTTCACTTCTATTCAAAGTCATCCATTTGGTCTTGTGTTGCAAATTTTTCCAAATTCGCCATTATCCTGGAAAACGCGAATCTCGCCCTGTTTAAACATCAAATTCACAATCACATTCTTTAATAAAACAACGTACTTTTTTCTCAGAGGGCACGGTAATGAATCCTGCAATCTTATTGGTTCTTAGCGCTGTATAATTTTCCTATCTCAGCTCACGGGCAACGGTAACGCTTTCATGAATCGCTGAGTACATCCCTACCTTCGTTGCCATTTTTCATCAATATATCTCGTTTTTCCGGCTGGGCAGTATTTTTAAGCAAAGACATCGGTAACTACCTCAAGCCGATAAATAACTTATTAATCCTCTCTTTCCTCTCTCTCAAATCACTTTGGTTGTAAGAAAAATTTTCAAAATGGATCTGTATAAGCAAAAGTGTCATTCCGTTGGTTGATAAGTGGCCTAAAAACCGTCTGTAATTAATTTTAATCGTTCACAAAAAGTACCTAGAAAGTTAAAACGCGAGGTATTTGGTTACAATTGAACTGATCGATGGAAGTACGGCCTACGGCCTCATGGGGTACTCAAGACCTCGGGCACAGTTTTTCCCAAGACGGACCTTCCGGCTGGCGGATAACATATATATACCATTCCAGATTAAAAGCGAAGCAAGTGGAGATCATTCGATCCAATAGAAAACTAAACTTGGCTCTACTCTTATAACCAAAGAACACAAATCTTAATAATTAGTACAAGTATCTTGAATAACAGAACTAACCAAACTTTAAACAAGGAGACTGGGGAGAGCGTCACAGAATGTAGACGTGTGTTGCGAGGCTCCGTAAACCGGAAAATTTTACTACCGTTTGAACGTCCAGGGAAAAATTATTCATCACTCCAAAACGGAAAAGTAGCTATCGCAGTGATTCGGAGCCGTCACCAGAAGATAAAAGACTGAAAGAGTCAAATTCTCCGGCTAAGATATCGTGTGACGAAGACGAGGTCATGGAAGCACTCGGATCCAAAATAGATTTAGTGTTATCGAAGCTTTCTAACCTGGAAACAAAAATGGAAGAACTGAACGCAGCAGTCAAAGGTCTACAAAGCAAGGTAACGTCTTTGGAGAGAGAAGTAGATTCAGTGAAAACGAAGCAGAAAACCTTAGACGAATACTTCACTTCAATGGAACAAAGTTCTGTATTCGTTGACGAGCAAGTACAAGACCTGATAGCTAAGACTAATAAAAACAATGACGACGTCAGCGATACACGTAGAAAACTGTTATACTTGGAGGCCTACAGTCGACGCGAAAACTTGAAATTTGAAGGCATCCCCGAAACTTTCGCTTCGAGCGAAGAAGATGGAGCTATTCAGCGGGGCGACGTGTCTACTGAAAATACAAAAGCGGTGCTGACTGATTTCTTTGAAAGAGTCCTGGGAATAGAAGATGCAAAGAACATCGAATTTCAACGAGTACACCGAATGGGCAAACCAAGAAAGGAAAATGGAAGAGAAAGGATCATTATTGTGCGTTTCTTAAGATTTTCAGACCGAGAACGGGTGCTCAAATGCGGACGTAAACTCAAGGAAACAGGATACAAGATGTATGAAGACCTCCCGAAAGAAATCCACGAGATGCGAAAGCTCCAAATGGAGAAGTTAAAGAATGCCAGGAAGGACGGTAAACGTGCTTATTTCAGTAGATCGGAGCCCGACAAACTTTACATCAACGGTAAATACGTCAAAATGTAAAATGTAATAAGTTTATTTGGGTTAACGTTGCTATCATGATCATTCTTTTTCTCTAGAAAATGCTAATTTAAGAAGCAGTAGAAAATTCCTGCCATTTTTGTCACTTTCTACTTTATCCGTTATGCATATTCTTTCTCACACCTCATGGGCACTACCAGTTTGATTTTTTTTTTTCACATTCCGGTGAAAGGGTTTCGGGTGGAATGATGTACTAGGCGTTTGTTCGTGCTCGTAAACAGTTCTTCTGGAGCAAGAGGTATGTGGGATTGGTTAACTTATTTTCGCCCTCAGTCTTCGTTTTCGTTCTCGTTTTCGTTTTATGTTCATGTAGTTTTATCGCAGTCTGTTAGATACCAATTTATTTCATTCAAACCGCACTCGATTTTTATACCCGGCTCATTTTCATATTTTAAGAATGTAATATCTATCAACTTACTCTTATGAATAACGTTTGCTTTAATGTTCTATCCTTGAATGTTAGAGGAATTCGTGATCTCAACAAACGCAAATCGATCTTTACATGGGCTAGGAACCAGAAAGCGAATATTATTTTTTTGCAAGAGACATATAGTACGCCAGATGTTTTTGATAGTTGGAAATTTCAGTGGCTGGGAGATATGTATTATTCGCACGGATCCAATCATAGCAAAGGCGTTCTGGTGTTAATACGTGAGACCCTTCAATTTGAGTTGAAGTAGGTCAAGAAAGATAGCCAGGGCAGATTCGTCATCGTTGAAGCGTTAGTTCAAGATTCTCCCGTTTTGTTGATCAATATTTATGTTCCTAACAATACCCATGACGCTGTTGACTTCTATGAAAACCTTAGGACTACTTTACTTGAGAGCGACTATGACCAGGACTACAGGTTTATTATGGGAGGTGATTTTAATGTGCCATTAAGTCTTCAACTTGATAGCTATGGAAGTAAAAAAGAAAAAAAAGACGTGGTAACCAAAATCCGCGAGCTAATGTTAGACTTTAACCTAGTAGATATATGGAGACTAAGGAACCCGGACAAAAAGCGTTACACGTGGAAACAAAATAAGCCTTTAGTCCAACGTCGGTTAGACTACTGGCTAATAAGCGATGATTTTCAAGATGACGTGGACAGCACAGGTATAATTTCTGCCATTAAAACAGACCACGCTGCTATTGTGCTCCAGGTTAACAGTGTTAAAATGCAACCAACTGGGCCGTCATATTGGAAATTTAACTCTAGCCTGTTAGAAGATCCAGAATATATCAATCTTATAAAAGACAACGTTCCCTAGTGGCTAGTAGAATTTAATGAAGTGTTAGACAAAGGTCTTCTGTGGGATTTAATTAAATACAAAATAAGACAAGTAACGATGAAATATAGCAAAACAAAGGCAAAAGAAAGGAGAAGTCGTCTTTGCGAAATCGAGAATAAATTGAAAGGATGCCAAGAGATTTTTGACTCTAATCCGACAGAAAATAACGCTGTACAGCTGGAAACGATCAAATCTGAGTACAACTCACTGTATGATTATATTATTCAAGGTAATGTTATTCGTTCTAGAGCCAATTGGTATGAACATGGTGAGAAAAATAACAAATATTTCTTAAATTTAGAAAGTAGAAAGATGAGCAACTCTTGCGTCTGTAAACTTTTTGATAAAGGCGGTAAATTAATAACTAATCCCAAATCAATTTTATCAGAATTGTATGACTTCTATACTGAATTGTACTCTAACCGCGACCCACCCAATCATAACAATGTTAGCGATGCGTTTCTTGACCAATGTCCTTTGCCAACTTTAAACGAAGATGCCAAACAAATTTGTGAAGGGGTTCTTACAAAGGCGGAGTGTTTTAAAGCTCTACAAACGTTTAAAAACGGAAAATCCCCAGGTAACGATGGCCTGACAGCAGAATTTTATCAAGTATTTTGGCCCACCTTAGGACATTTGTTAGTTGACTCTTTAAACAGTTCCTATGGAAAAGGAGAATTGGCAAACTCCCAAAAACAAGGAATTATAAAACTTATTGAGAAGAAAAACAAGGATAAAAGATATGTTGCGAATTGGAGACCCATTTCTCTGTTAAATGTGGATGTTAAGATTGCGTCCAAAGCTATAACATTAAGACTCGAGAAAGTTCTTTCCGACTTAATTAATGCTGAACAGTGCGCATATGTGAAAGGAAGGAACATCTTTGATGCAGTACGAACTATAGGTGATATTATGGACTATACAAAGTTATACAATCTCCCCGGTCTCATGGTGACCATTGACTTCGAGAAAGCGTTTGGCTCCTTAAGTTGGAACTTCCTTTTTAAGACCTTGGAAAAGTTCAATTTTGGAGAATCCTTTATTAGGTGGATACGTCTTTTCTATACTAATATATCCAGCTGCATTATGAATAATGGTGTAGCAACTCCTCTTTTTTCAATCGGAATAGGGGTTAGACAGGGTGACCCTCTCTTGCCCTATTTATTTATTTTAGCCTTGGAAACCCTCCTTACCGCTATCAAACAGACTCGAGATATAAAAGGTATAGTAGTAGAAAACAAAGAAATCAAATGTATCACTTTCGCCGATGACTTAACAAACTTTTTACGCGATAAGGAATCTTATGACTCTCTTAGTTCCTTGTTGAACACATATGGTGAATGTTCAGGGCTTAAACTAAATAAGGACAAAAAAGAAGCCTACTGGTTAGGAAGTTCCTATCGAAATCACGAAGCTCTCGATATTAATAAGGTGAATGAGCCAATTAAAATACTAGGTATATTTTTCACTTATGATCAGCGTAAAAGCAGAGAGCTTAACTTTGACCTTACTTTAAAGTCAATAAGAAAGTCCTTAAGTTGCTGGCAATGGAGAAACTTAACATTAATTGGTAAAATTCAATTAGTCAAAACATTTGCTATGCCTAAGTTTATGTATCGGGCCTCCTTTATCTCTTTTGATAAGGATATAATTAAAAGCATAAATTCTGTGATATTCAATTTCGTGTGGAGAGGCAAAGACAAAGTCAAAAGACTAGCCTTAATTAGTGAATACGAAGACGGTGGCCTCAAAATGCCTCACCCTGAATCTTTAATTAAAACTCAAAGAATTGTGTGTCTTGCAAGGTATTTAGATGATAATAGTAGTCCATGGAAAGTTTTCTTGTCTCATTATCTTAAGAATGTAGGAACCAGTTTTCTGCTTCAGTGCAATTTCAATCCATCGCGCCTACCCTGTAAACTACCTTCTTTTTATAAAGAATGTCTTGAAGTTTTGTCTGACTTTAATGGCAATCACGATATAATAGCTACAAAACAGGGCGTTTTAAATGTGACTATCTGGAACAACCAGAACCTCTTGATTAACAAGAAATCAATATACAACAAGAGAATAAAAGAAGCAGGTTTTGTGAAACTTGGAGATATTCTCTCAAATGACTCAAAATTAAAAAGGTGGGACGCTTTTAGAGAGAAGAATCTCTCCTTGTCAGATTACTTACTCCTACAAGGCATTTTTTCCGCCATTCCGCCTAACTGGAAACAGCTCCTTAACGTTGGAGAGAATAATAACAACCGAATTGACAAAACTGTTTCAGACGATGTTCAAGATATAACTAGAATGACTTCAAAATCAATCTATTCCACCCTGGTCAAACGAATCCAGATTTCTCCGACTGCCCAATCTAAGTTTAATTCCGTATATAATATTTCAGGTAATATAGACTGGAAAAACATTTATCTATTGCCGGGTCGAGTCACTCTTGACACCAGAACGAGAGCCTTTCAATACAAAATCTTAAATCGTATTCTCTACACCAATGAAATCCTATATAAAATGAATTTGGTTCCTTCTCCGATGTGTACCTTTTGTGGAGATCACGAAGAAACTCTTGAGCATCTTCTAATCAGCTGTACCTACACTAAAAACTTTTGGCTTTCGGTTATTTCTTGGTTAAATACTTACAATATGAAAATTGATAAGCTTGATGAGGTAACAATCCTCTTTGGTATTTCCGATAATAACCCTGGGAATTTTTTGTTAAATCACATAATCATTCTTGGAAAATATACCATTTATTCATGTCGTTGTAAAAATATCAAGCCGTCTGTATCCTTACTGAAGGCTAAAACATCTGAAACTCGGAAATTGGAATTTTTGATTGCAAAAAAGAATAAAAAAGAATCTATTCATTATAAAAAATGGGAAAACATGTTATTGTAACTCAATAGATGAGTATCGGGTATTAACAGTCATAGACGCAGTTGTATATACAGTCGTTCTACCAAAAAAGGAATTTGATGTAGAAGTATTTGTACAAATTAGGTTCATATTATTATATAACCACAACATAAATTAAATCTAGCCGACTGTGAATGTAATGTAACGCAGTATTTCGTAATTAGTGTTAGTGAGTAGCGTAAGCGTTAGTGTAATTAACTTTGTATTTGTTTGTATTACTCTAGTATTTGTGCTTTAAGTGAAAATAAAAAAAATGTTAAAAAAATAAAAATAAAATAAAAATAAAAAAAATTTAAACAAGAAATTAGATGATGTATAAGATTCAAATCTGGAAGGAATTATCTTTAAAACGAATATGCAAAAAGCATGTTCTTTAAGAATATGTCAATGCACAAAAGGAATGGTGGCAATCGAAAAAGAAATATTTTACTGTATTAATTGAAATTGTTTGAAAGATCTTAGACAATAATTAAAAGATTTCACAGGAATGAAATGTTAAGTTTGAATCTAAATGATTACAGAAACAATTGTTTTTCTAACTAGAAAGTTGGTGAATGAAATAAAGGATGTATTTTCGTCTTGTCACGAGCGTGGGACGGGTTCAAAAATTTTCATTTTTCGCGCAGTATTTACTGACACGACGCTTTCAACATCGCTCAAGTTATTATAGGTAGTTCCTCATTTCCACTCAGAATTTCTTTCTTACTTAAATGCTAGTGGCAAGGAGAAAAGATGGTGTATTTCTTGATTTTGCCTTAACCGGTTCAGTTACCATTATAAATGTTACAGAAGCATCGCCACAACGATGGTCGCAGATCATTAGCTTGTGCGCGGGTAAATCATGACGTCGAAATTTCGGGTGGCCGTGTATAGGAAAGATCTAAAATCATTTTTAATCTCGGTTAATTATAAGAGGTCAACATATCGAGATCACGAAATTTATTGTCTTGCCCTGTCCAATCCGCCCTAAAAAAAACTCTCGCATGTGTAGCATGCCTATGTTTTTAACATTTTTCTTTTTCACGATTTTTCCTTTCCCAGGCAAGGAAAGAACTGGCAGTAACACCTCTCTCATTCAACATTATGTAATGCCTATCAAACCAGCTCCTGGAGCAGCTGGTAGGAATGGCCAACATCCTAAGCCCTACTTCGTAAGTGAAGTAATTATGGTCATGGATTGATTTTTCATTTCTCAAAATTTAAAATTACATAGTACCTGGTTATGGGGAAACCAGCTGTATTAATTTGTCCGTTGTTCCTGGTTAAACACGAATTTGGAATGGTGGCTTTTTTTAGGGGAACAGCAAAACTGCTCTCTACCACACTGATAATTTTTTTTTACCCGTTCATGTTTGTAGGGTATATGGGAGTTGTTTTGACTTATCTCAGATGCATTGTTAACATCTTGTTTGCCAGGCCCAAGGGAACAGAGGAAGGAAATTGCGAGAAGAAGTAAAAAAAAGCGCCACCTTGGCAAGTGCACCTGGCGAACTTGTAGACATGACTGAACAGCTGGCCGAAGAAATGAGAAAGAAGAATGAGAAAATGGATCGGATGTGTTCCGCCCATGAAAAAATTAATTACCCGAAGGAAAATTTAAAGTGTATAAGGAAATGATTAAACACCTATACATTTTGTTGTTCGTCTTATCAAAATGAAACAGTAAGAAATGTACTAGTAGTCACAAATAAACTGCCCTTGAATGTGTTTAAGGATCATTATTATTTAAAATTTGCTTCTAGGGAATTTCCAAATCCTTCAGATATCGTTTTGACAGCATCAAATTGTGACCCCACAGGCAGACCACACTATGAACAGATCGACACGTAACAGCTAATTTGAATGACGTGTTGCAAAATGAAACGAAGCTTTCGAAGTTGGGATTCACAAAGTTTCGGATGACCTCCGTATTCTAAAAATCTATAGGCCAGTTTTTTCCCATCGCCGAAGTCTGAGTATTTTATAAAATACGCTGTCTTTCACTTGACATCTGTGACATAGGTAAATATATTGTCCTGTGCTCCTTCTGTGTTCCTCTGAAGTGTGAAATATATGTAAAGGATACGCTCAAGAATGTAAGTCCAGTGTCGAAATTCGCTTCTAAACAACAATAGATGTCTGTACCAGAACTATCGAAATATGCTACGTCTCTTCAGAGCCATATGAAGCAGCGTTATCTCCAAAACATGGAGAAAATCAGCATTGATCCAGTCAGCATCCCAGATGACGAACTTGATCCAGAGTGTTTATCTCCGATAGAGCAGTCTGACTTGTTTTGTTTCTTGGTTCTGGAAACCAGTTAATATACAAATGATCAATGATAAAAATTAGTCTCAGAAAAACACGTAGTTTTAGCCAAAGTTCGTTAGTCTCAACGAATGAATGACTCTCTTGTGGACGTATAGATCAAAACTGGACAAGAAGGAAAAATTTATTCTACAGATTGCCTAAGCTGTAAGGCTGGTTTGGCTGAGTCATGTTCTCCCATCGCCAATGCTCTATTTTATATCGAATATTGGACTCGAATAAACGGAAAATTGGCTTGTATGCAAGGTAAGTGTATGTAGCTCCTTCCAACTTAGGTCAGCAAGGTTATGTGAGCAATAGCTATAGATATTGATTTCACCTCTGCTAAAATGCTGAAAGAAAATCTTGACAGTAAGATTGAGTCTTTCGATGGTCAAGGTGGAAACTCTAATAAAGCTCAAACTTTTCACAGAGGAGCATAGAACACAAACCCTGCCATTTCAGCGGAGGAAATGTTAGATTTTTTTAAGAGGCTGAACCAGTGCGAGGAAAAGGCTGCATTGCTCAGTTTAATCGATCCATACGCTGTTCAGTTTATTTTAAAAAGTCGCAGCATACCAATAATAACAGATCTTTACGAGCCCAACAATCTGGATCTAAATTATCCTGAGCTTTTAAGCAAGTGTTCAGAAGTTGAGGTAAACATCTCCGAGAAAGAAATTGAAATGGCGAGCAGGACACAAGAACTCATGAGAAGGGGCCAGGAGTTTTTAGTCAGTTAGTTTAGTTTTTAGTCTACCATACTAATCTAGCACAACCTTCTCTCTCTTTAACTTATTCAATTTGTTATCCACACTTGTTTAAACTAAATAACAAAGCAATAAAAAATGGATGGAAACACGAGGAACATGCCATTAAAACGTATGAACAGTGTAAGTAATTACATCATATTAACTTTGAAGTGAAGAGATGTGGGCAGATTCGATCGCATAAGATACGATTGTTGAGACATCGTTTAAAACAGAATAATTTGAAAGCCTTAATGGATGTTCAATCAGCGGAAAATTTCGAGGAGGTGCGTCAAAAATTTAGGCGCTTCGAACATCAAATTAGACGTTTCCCCAGCTTACGTCGAGCCACATAAACTTCCTAACTTCCTTCCTTTTGTCTATTTCAAGCGGTGGTAGTAACCTTCCCGCTGTCTTGCTAAACAAAATTATTCATCGTAAAGTAAATAACAAAATTTGAATAACAAAAAGTCGAAACACTTCTAACCGCAAAGGAGACGCTCTGTGGAGATATTACAAAATTAAAGGCAAGATATGATCCCTGCAGTGGTTATATGCGTTTGTGTTTGAGCGTTAGCCTTTCGTCAGAGACCAAACAACGCCTGCTAGAGTACTACGGATTCGAATTTTAATTACCCTTCCTGAGTAGTCGAAACTGTTTTGAAATGTTCTTTTTTTTTAATAATGGTTAGAAGTTTTTCATGTCAAGGTTACCCTTGTGATTTTAGCCAAGGGTTAAGTTGGGTTTCCTGATTTCCGTCTTTCTTTCTCTATATGTTCTAGTTGTCCGATTTTTGGAACTTGAATGTTCTATCTGAAGTGGCCGTGTTAGGTACTTTGTTACGATACTAGGGCCAGAAAGGAGCGCGACCCTGAGTTTGTACCACTAAGTAGTTTGTCCTTGACTTTTAAAAGTCTTGATTCTCAACAAGAGGAAATATTTCTCCCTTGTTCTAAGACAATAAAAACGTTCATCGGCGGTCATGTTTGAGTTTGTCTTCTGGCCTGGCTTTGTATATACGCCAAAGTACTCGAAAATTGGGCTTTTTGATCGGGGAGTATGAAGCTATTTTTTCCTATTTCCATGAATCTCGCACAAGTTTTTGGGTGTTTTTTAATGTTTCAGTCGAGAAGTTTAATTCTCTAAGGTCTATCGGTTCGTATCCTACGCATGCTTACATACCGTGTACTTAGGAAGTACCATACCGTGAGTACTTAGGACCACTAAAGTAATTAGATCAGACGATTCAGGCGGTTGTAGTCTTTTCAGCAATGAACAGTGAGTCTCGGTGCCTATTTTTAGCTTGGGTTGCCTCAGAAACTAGTTTTCACAATCTCCGCCTCTCAATTTAATTTGGCTCCTCCATCAATTTCACTGTAAGTTTCAGAGTAGGTTGATGTCTATTAGCTTGCTCGCTGGATTCTTTTATTTTTATTTCAATCGGGCTCGTTTAACAGATTCACTTCCAGCGGATCAAGAAGGTCGTTGGAACTTTTCATCACAGCCAGAGAAGACCTAAAATATGACTACTGTTAGCATTTTCTCCACAAATTATAGATATTAATAGTCTCAAGCCATCAGCCAACCCTTGCATGGTACGATGTCTTCCGAAGGGTTTAAATAAAGTACTTTTTTCCCAAGTTTTCGCAACTCTCTGAAACTAAAGATTTAGGCCACTTCAATAGGATAACAACAACATCTCGAGATCATGAAAATTCAGTGCCTTGCACAGTTCAATCCACCCTTGATAATAGGGACTGCAAATAAGAGGAGAAAAGACCGTCATAGTGAACAAAGGCTGAACACAAACTTGGGATCTGGACCAGAAAATTGATGAAAGTGACATTCGACTCAGCTTTAGTCAAAACGACGTTCCGGAGAAGAGAATGTTTCAATTTGGTATAAAAATGGAAATCACATGGGAGCTTGAAATAGTCTAAAGAAAAAGGTCTCATATCATGCACGTGGAATCTAGGTGAAAAATTCGAAAAACCAACAAACATGGAGTGCTAAATGTTACTATTATTATTACAACTATTGGTAAGACCGATATTATTAGTTTAACATGTTTTGGCAGTTTTAGATTTAGCTAGACCTCTCACACGTGTCATTTATCCACACGTGACCTTCATTTGCATTCACTTGGCTTGTCAGTTATGTATTGTTAACTCCCTGATAATAGGGACTGCCCCACGTGACCTTCATTATATTCACTTGGTGTATTGACTGTGAATCTTAAGTGCTCACAGGTTTTGGCATTCTAAGATGGCTTTGTGTCTGTTTCGCTGGTGGAATTGTGCAAAGAACAAAGCAAGAAAATTTTCTGGTCAGCTTCTGCGCTTTTTTTCCTCACGGAAGCGACAACAAGGCAAGTACTTTCGCCGCAAAGACGAACGAGGCAAGGCCAGATACACCTACAGAATAAGGATTTAAAAATTAAGTTTCCGTATTTTTGCATAAGTTTTACACACCTTACGGAATTTTCGACGAAAACTAGGCAAATAACCTTCACGTTTTTTATGATGCTGGAAATTAGCGGCTACAACGAAGCAAAGAGGTGCTCGAGTATTCAAGACTGAGGTTTCTACGCGTAACACGTATTTTTCAAAGACGAACGAGGCAAGGTCGGATACACCCATTACATGTGGATTTAAAAATTAAGTTTCCGTATTTTTGCATTAAGTTTTACACACCTTACGGAATTTTCGACGAAAACTAGGCAAATAACCTTCACGTTTTTTATGATGCTGGAAATTAGCGGCTACAACGAAGCAAAGAGGTGCTCGAGTATTCAAGACTGAGGTTTCTACGCGTAACACGTATTTTTCAAAGACGAACGAGGCAAGGTCGGATACACCCATTACATGTGGATTTAAAAATTAAGTTTCCGTATTTTTGCATTAAGTTTTACACACCTTACGGAATTTTCGACAAAAACTAGGCAAATAACCTTCACGTTTTTTATAATGCTGGAAATTAGCGGCTACAACGAAGCAAAGAGGTGCTCGAGTATTCAAGACTGAGGTTTCTACGTGTAACACGTACTTTTCAGCATATTTGTTGGTCATGGTTGAGGAAAATTACTATTGTTTCCCAACTGCTCTTCACTCAAGGATAGGATCAGGTTGCTAGATTTAGATAAGAAAGCAATTTTGTTTGTTTTACCAGCCGCTTTTTCGGCTAACGTTTCCTCAATAGAAACGCTAGGGAATATTTCAACGTGAAAAAGACATATGACCCCAAATTTTTTGTCCCAATACATTTCTCTCAGGTTAAAGAATCCTAAATGGGCAATTTAACGATATATTATGCAAAATCAAATTTTCTACAAATTTTTTTTGACGCTTAATCGACGGTTATTTTGAAGACGATCAGATTCACGTCAAGTGATGTAATACGTCACAGGTGTGTAAGGGAAATGTCCGTTGTGTGCAGAGAGAAGTGTCACGTTAAGATCTGAAAGTAACAACTTCGTCCCGGCTGTTCAGCAGTTGCCGAAATTTACGAGCGAAAAAAAAAAAAGATTTGTTCCGTTCTGTTATAGGCCACCATTAAGAGACTGAAATACGAAGTGAGAAATAAAATAATGAAGGTTGAATAATCGAAACGCGACGGATCGCATGTCTGTATTTATAACCACAGGTAATTTGTGCGCCACTCCAAACATATTTCTTTCGTCTTAACGATTATAGAGCCCCACACTTAAAACAATGTTTTTTAGTCCAAGCCGAAAACCAAAGGAAGTTGGAACCAAATTTAAGAGATCGAGCGGACAATCTGTCATAAATGCACGTCACGTTTGTTGTTCAATAACTTCCTCTAGAATTAATTATTCTCTGTTGCATGATAAAACTTTAGTTGCACCGAAAAGCTCCTACAAAACACCGCTGTCAATAACTTCCTCTAGAATTGATTATATTCTCTGGCACCATAAAATTTTGGTTGCACCTCATAAAAGGCGGTGGGGGGATATAGAAGGCTCGAATTGATCGGTGCCCTACTAGTCCTAACAGCTAACTTGATTGACGTGTTATAAAATGAAACGAAGCTTCTGAAAACACGCTTTCAGTTCACGCAACTCCATGCACTAAAACAGACAATTACTACTGCACCTTTTACTTCACCATAACCACTTCGTAATTATCCATTTGGCGATGAAGCTCGAAGTGTCAGTTAGAAATTCATTTCATCTTGTAATTCACAAAGTTTCGGATTAATTCCCTATTCTCAAACTCTAAAGGCCAGTTTTTTTCTTATGGCTGAAGTCCGAGAATTATTGCCTCAGTTTCTAGAAAACCACGAAAACGAACAAAAAAGTGAGATTTCTCAGTAC